TTCATCACATGCTCGAACAATAGCATCCAATTTTTTAGGTTCAATATTATGCTGATTAGTAAGATTAATAGTTTCACTATTAAAATCTAATTCAATATTACGTATATAAATTATTGGTTAACCTGTTTCTATAGTCATATGATGCTTTTTAATTAGTGATGAAAGTTCTTGTTCAGAATCTTTACCAAGAACTGCTAACTATTTATTTTATTCTGATTTATTTGTATTAAAGAAAAAGGACGTTTTCTTAGAAGTTTTAGGTGAGGCTTCTAATCTATACTAATGTAATACTTTTATATCTAACCCAAAAATTCGAGGACCTGATAATCAGGTTTCAGATTGATTTTTTATTTCCTAAATAATAATTTTTATTACAATATGTATTATATTCTTATTTAAAATCAATTAACACATACTTTTAAAAACGCGGTAACAGCTCCAGTTGTAGATCTTTCACTATAAACACTCCACTGTATTATTTTCTTTCCAAAAAATATTATACCTTATTTTTCAATTTGAAATGTATTTAATTTCACAACAAAGTTTTTATACCCAAATTCAGTTTCAACAACATAATCATTTGGTATCTAATACTGTTTTCCATTTTTAGAATTTTTTTGTGTCATCATAACATTTATAGGATATTGTCCCAAAGATATTACATTATACCATGAAACAAAAGTTATACCGCCTGATTTATATGTTGCCACAATATGAGAAGAGTTTGGATAATCTTGATTAAAAATTCTCGTTGATTAGCGCTCTATAATTATATTATAAAGAAATTAATAATAATATTTGAAAAATATAAGTTTACATATAGAAAATATTATGTTAGACAAATTAGAAGTTGAAATTAAAAGTTGAGATAATGCCTACTCTTTTTCCTACGAAGAGGATGGTAAAAAAAGAATTTTCAATATTTGAAATAAAAATTTACCATAGTCGTGACTTTCATTTTCGTTAAACATTAGAAAAATTTTAACAGTATTTTAGTTTATGTAATACAATATAAAAAATATCAAATTTGTTGATTTACCGCAATTCACAAATAATTCCAAAAACCAAATTTAAAGTTATTAAAGCGCGAAAATACACGTTAATCATATTTCGTAATAAGATCAGCCTTGTTACACGTCTATTTACTGATTTATATAATGGATATAATCCTAATCACTAAGTGATAAAATCGAATGGAGTCAAATTAGCCCATATGAATATAAAATGCGAAGATACGAAAAAAGATGTGGTTAACCTGGAATTTCGAAATCATCGTAACGGTAAAAAAATTGAAATTTAAACTGTTTCATATTTTTTTATGAACGCGCACATTCCAGTAACAAATAATATAAAATATTTTATTATTTGTTTATAATGACATGTTATCAGTTTTGATATTGTTGGTATTATAAAATATTCTGATTTTAAAATTTCATCTTATATATTTAAATCAGATTTCATCATCGAAATCAAAAGGAGATGCTTTGTTGACGTAACAAAAAGATAGTTTCCTATCATATCTAAATTTCTTATATCCATTGGGAAAAACGCGCGCTTTTGCATGTTATTTCCTTCGAACGTGTTATTTAAGAAAATGTAAAAATGTAAATTTGTTTAAAATGAATTATCATAAATAATTATAACTAGGCTAACTGGGTCCGGAGCTAAGGAACTTTAAAATATAATTATTAATGTGAGGAAAAAAGTCTAAATTGACAAAAATCACGTGCCGGACAGACGGACATGTCGATCCCTATTGAAAACCCTTCGCTACGCTCTGGACAAAAAGCTCTTTGAACTCGGATAGAAGCACTAAGCAATGTCCGTATTGATCTGAATTACCGCCCGAAAAATGACGTAACTAACCCAATTTATGATAAATGTTTAATACGCGCTTTTAACGCAAAAAAAAAGAAAGTTTTCTGACAAGAATACAGAATAATATTTCTTCAAGAATATGATGCTTACATTATTTTTTCTCCTCCTTTCTCCTCCAAGGTCAAACTTCTTTCAATATATATTGTAATAACTAGCAGGTTATGCTAAATGTAAGTATTTCATCATTCTACAATCTAACGACGATGTCAAACCGTCCCTTTGCGAAGTTGCTCATTCCGGATTATATGGCCTTTACATGCTTCTCCTTGTTTGGATCATTCGTGAATACAACCGGTCTTGTTGTATTGAAAGGCCACTTGCTATTTTTCCTTTACAAAAAATAATCAACCTATAGCAAGCCAGAATACTTATTCAGATTACTGACTTTTTTTACCTTTTTTTAGTGAAGGTCCCTAATTTGTACGAAGAACCAAACCGGGTTGCAAGCGATTATTTCAAGAAGGGTCCGCGATAATTAATTCTTCGACTGTGATAAAAATAAAAGTGTTCGCAGTTTATCTCTTCAATTGCGACGAGGAATAAACTGGGTTATTAACATTCTCTGTTGTTGATTTGTTTATTTTTTCCTAGCGACATGTAAAATTAATTATGGTACAGAGAATTTCTAGAATTTGAAATTGTTAATGCTAACAGACAATTACACTTACTTTTGATAGTTTCCTCTAGAGTGAGAGGTAATTGATATTTTTCCGGAGTGTATATATTTAGTTTCTTACGTAAAAATATTTCTCGTTAAAAAATTTATATTGATCCTATGTTTACATTCTGGGTAAAAATTTTTAACAAAGAATAATTTTGTAGAATTTAATAAAAATCCATATCTTCTGGCAAAGTCCATCTTCGTAACGCCTTATAATAAACATGTGCGTGTATTGTCTTTCGTCATACCAAAGCAATTTGTTGAATATGAACGAAGATTTAACACTTCTATACACATTGTGTGAGTTACAACAAGTTTGTCATGAATTGCAAAGGTACTTTGTATATTTTTTATTTATGAGTCACTTTGGATAAGCATTTTTTAAGCACATGAGTTCTTTACGGAAAGATATCCTGCATTGCTTTGACCTCTGACAAAAGGAAATTGATGAAAAATTCCAATTTCATTTAAAAAATGCTCAGACATTCCAATGGATCGTCCGCTGCTGTGTTCAAATATCTTAAAATTTTTTTTGTTGTAACTTAATAACCCTAATAAATAGATTATTAGATATCAAAAAAAAAAATAGTTTTTTGTTAATTTTTTGAAAAATCCAATCATTGGATTCAATTCGAACATTTGTAAATCAATTAGATGTGATTCGTCTTGAAAAATCCAATCATCGGATTCAATTCGAACATTTGTAAATCAATTAAATGTCATTCGTCAGTTTGAGGTCTCCAAACGAATTTTGTACGACATATTTTTTATGTTTTTAAATGTTATTATTTCTGAATATAGATATGTTTGAAAGAAAAAAAAAATTAAATTTCAAATTCACTAAATTAGTAATCATTAAAATATTTATTATTCGAACTTCTTGGGTATGACAGTTTAACGACTGATTTATTATAAATTTCTTCTATTTCTTCGTCGTTCATTCATTTGTTTTGAAAGAAAAAATAGCATAAACAAAAAATGTTGCGTGACTTATATAACAAACCGCAAAAAACTGAAGCAGATTCGATTTGGTGGTTTCGACGTTCAGTAATTTTGTTTTCGTTAATATTATTGATTGCTTCCTTTATAATATTATGTCATAAGATGTTAAATGAGAAGCCTACTATTAGTTCTACTTTTACGACAAGTGATAGTTTACCTGCACCAGGTAAAAATAGTTTCCTCTTTTTTGGATCATAATATAAATAAAAATTAAATTCAATGTTGAATCACAATGCAGCCATCGATTTTGCTTTTGGGTTTGAGTTTGATATTTCTTGCTTATTGTATTATGATTATCACGGAAGTAAGAATTTTACGATTAATTGCTTTATGACTTATTCACATCATATTAAATATTAATACTGTTTTAAAATCTTCAAGCAAATGTAGAAAAGTGCGATGAATATGTCCAACAACCAATATTTACGGGAAAGATAGACCATCCTTTTGTTGGAAACTTTTTAGGCAACATAAGTTTGACGGGTTATGGAGATGAAGGAGTACATTTTGTCTTTCTTAATATAAACGTCAAAAATAAATTATTGAATCTGAATGATTCTAATCAAGAAACATCCTTTAGGATGACTGCTTTTGATTCAGGTGATTCATGCAAGTGCTTTTTCATAAAGTCGTACGGATCTTGTTTATATCGAGTTTTTTTATCATTAAACAAATAGAAGACACGCAGAGTAATGCCCCAATAACTCCATTTGAAGAATCACTTTTCTATCTAAATAAATACACCGTAGCTGAAAATTTTGTATGTATTATTACAACGCGATTAACTATTTTTTTTTTCTGACAAGCATTTATTCATCTTCCTTAAACTTTACAACGTATAAAAATCACAGATATATAAGCTTGGATTCTCTAGAAAATTCAGAAAAACGCTATGTCCATCACCTTTAACTTACATCGGTTTCGCAGGAACGTGCTTTACGAAACCCTATATTGAATCAATTATGCGTAAGGACATTTATGTTTTAAAAGCTTCATTCATATCATCATAATACATTTTAACTTTTTGCAAACACTATGATCGTTGTTTAAATATCTACAGAGAGTGCTCCGATGATTTCTTCAAATCCGAACTATTTAACGGTTCGGATTAGTCCAAGAAGCTTTATCGTAGAAGAGGAACAGGAGCAAAGGTAAAATCATCTACCAAATAAAATTAACTTTTATTCATTCGTTAACATATTTGCGTATATAATAATTAAAATATATTAGGAGTGGTAGTGTAAGTAATCTTAAAAAAATTATTTGAAGTTTTTAAACCCGTACGTGAAGAGTGATCATCATCTATCATTTGAATAAATAGGTTATAAACATATTAGGAAATATTGCTGCTTTGTATAGTTCTATTGTGTTCATTTATGTGTTTTTATTTGGTAAGCTTAATTTAATTGACTTTATTTTTCTTTGTTAAATTATTGTAATTTGCTTGTTTATTTTAAAACATTTTAGGTGTCGATTCCATGAGGCCATGGGGTTTTGTACATAAAGGATGCTGCGGCTTCAGTAGAATCGAAGAAAGAACAAAAGAAAAGCTCTCACAAAGTGTGCAACCGCCTGATAGAGAAGATGGTTTAGAAAAAAGAATCTTATATTTGGAAACATTTAAATGTTTTATTGAACAAAATTTTATTGACGCTTCTTTATTAGAATCCATTAGAGAAACAACAAGTTAAATGAAAAAATTATTATATAAAAAAAGATTTGTAAAATGGAACGTAAAAAAAAAAGTCTTTGAAATAAGCCTTTTGTGATGTCCGCTATGGTCACTAAAATTTGTATAATATAATAAAATTCATGTATAATTGATCATTTACTATCGCTATTGAATCTTGCTCTATATATTTATATCTTTGATGCGTATTATCAAAACTAGCCGTTGATAATTCTTTTTTCTTCCTCTGTAAAAAAGTTATAGTACAAAATCTTGTATCTGGTCTTAAAATAAATAATAAAGTAACAATAATTTTTTTTTCTTTCTTTATAATAATATTAATAATAATAAATTGAAATATTTATAAAAGTTAGCTGCCTAAAAAACAATAAAATATATTAAAAATTACTTTATTGCTTAATTATATCTATTTTTTTTTTTATTAATTATATATGTATCAATCAATACTACGCTACTTTATCTTTTTTTTTTAAAAAAAAGTGATAG